CCTCTTCTCTTCCCCATTCCGGCTGGTGGTAACCGTCGAAAGGCCACTGTTGCAGCTGAGGATAAGACTCTCCATTGAAACTACCATCCATAAGAGAGCCGTTCTGCATAAAGAGATTTTGGACCGCAATCATTAACTCGATTCGTTTCAAAATCGTAAAAAGGAACAACGTCTGTTAGAGATCATTCATTCAAATTCAGTATCTAATCAACAAGCCAGCTCTCTTTTACTGTATTTTATCCTAAAGGGCCAAGATTTTTCAATGAGTGGGGTCTGGTTCTTAAAAGAAAGTAAGGTCATTTAATAAGAAGTTATTTGCAGAGAAACAAAAGCTTTGAGTATTAGATTGGATAGGTGAAACTTGAAGCTACAAGAACTTAAGACTCAGACCCACAGAAAAAAAATAATTGTGGAAGTAAAAAAAATAAAAACAACATCAAAGACCACAGAACAGAGGTGGTCCGTGTTTTCTGACCCATCTCTGTGTGTAATATAATTGAGAAGACTAATGAGTCCTTTCAAAAGATTTAACAAAAGGCTCTGTGTTTGTACTGCCATTTTTTTTGTAAGGATGTGTATTTATTTCCCCACGTTGATCCTACTTCTTTTAAGCCTAGTCTAAAATAGGATCGATTAATGTTGGATCAATAAATATCCAAAAGTTTCTCTTTTTGTGATACAACTACAAAGGTTACTCAAAGAAATATAACCCCTATGGTTACTTAAACGAGCAACATGGTCAACGAGAGGTTCTTTACTGCTTCTGTTTTAGAAGAAAATCACATGAAACTTACTTCTGAAGCCAGTATACTGTCGAGATTGAAGTCGATTCTGGGGTTTACTGCAGCAAGTCTCATAGATAGCATCTGAAAAGAAGGAACAGTTATTTGACATTGTAGCACCAATTATATTGATTTAGCTTACTGTTTCATATTAAAGTAAAAAAATCAAAATTTTAACTATGAAGTAGAAAAGTCTCACCTCCACTTGACGCTGTAAAGACTGTACATGGTTAATAATTTCATCCAACACCAATGCAGTGCCCTGAATCTGCAGATAAAAGCTTTCTAGTAAGTCAAAGTTCCTATGTATCCATTAGTTATGTAAATAATATGCGCAAATCTATAACCAATCGACTATGTGTGGTTAAAGAAGCAGCGAGAAAATGCGAACCAGAGCCACCATCTCTCGTTCGTAAACAAGAATTCAGGACTCTCAGGATTTGAGTAACAAACAATCAAGTCCCACAAATTTTACAAACTCTTAAAAGAGTTGTCACTTATCATTCGTCTCCATCCACCAATAATGGCTGCTAAATTCCAAGATATATATATCGATTAGTTAGCTGTCTGCAGGAATGTCACATCATGTTTCCAACCAATTAGGTATCTGTGGGACTCAAAGCATATAACAATATTAGTAACGATATACTAAACTCCTCACCCTCTTTCTACTTGATAGATACCAAACTTATTAGAGACGATACTACACTTCCTCACCCTCCATAGAAAGCCTGCAACTTTTTTCCACACATGGACCCCAAAACACACACTCTGATCTTGATCTATCCACCAAAACCTGTCCCCTCTACCCACAAAACCTTAAGGCTAGGAACACTCCAGCTAGCATCCCCCACATCATCAAGCCATTATTGTCATTTATGGAGTAAGCTTCAAGCTCAATCAATACACTTTGAGAAAATGAATGACAATGTCACATCACTTTCGTATTACTAGTTTACCTAAATGGTTATGACCCGTGAGATATTCCTTCCCCACCACGAATATAAAGTTTAGATCTTCAAGGCAATGAAATTCCTAAACTAGTCGTTTTGGTTTTCATATAAGAGGAATTTAGCATTCCACTCTATTTTTCATATAAAAAGCTAGTGAGAAGGATTAAGACCTTTATCAAACCACATAATCAAATTAGAGAAAAAACATAACTTTTTGGGGGGTTGGTCTAATAAAGAAAGATTCTGTCCTTAAACACAACCTAAGATCTAATTATTGATTAGCTTTTTTGATTAAAGGTCTATTATCTAGAGACAAACCTTATCACAGCCTGGGACCAGTTCCTGTAGCAACTTCATTCGTGCGTTTATCTTCTCTCTTCTTGCCTATAATCAATAGTTAATGATGAATTAGCGTAAGCCACTAATTTAACTACTACGAACCATGTTTGTGAGATGTGAAATTACTCGCTCTGCTAAGCTATGGTTATCAGTAGCTTGACCACGACGAGCCCTAACGTGAACATATGGTAGCTTCTCTGCTTCTTCTGAGCTCTTGCTCTTCTTCATCGAGCTTTTCACCTAGAAATCAAAGGATAAAGAAATTAAGTACTAATAATCTCTCTGGTTTCAAATGAACAAGAGTTTGGTTCTGAACAAATTGGTATCACCTTCTTCTCTCGTTCCTTCCTCTTGCCAGAACAATTGTTACGGTTATGATTCTCCGCCATTGAATCGGTCTCAGTAGGCTCGGTCTTGACATTCGCGCTGGAATTCGAATCACCGGAGATATTTCCGTTTTGCTCTGAAGCAATCACCGAGAAACGACCGGCGCGGTCCATGAGAAGCGAGTCAGAAGGTAAAGCCAATGTCCCAAAAGGATGATGAAGAGTGGGAGGAGCGATATCTCCGGTCGCCTGAGAACACGATGTATCTGTGAAATGAAGAAGCTCCATAGCTTGAGTCGCCGGCATCTCGAGCAACGCCGTGAAGGAACCGGTGTTCTCCGGAGGCATCGTCACTAATTGCCGGATTTCGTCGCTGAAATTGAGCGATTCCACCAGTCCCGTCACCGACTCACCGCCGGATCTATCTCCGAACCCTTGGGTCAGATCCATAACCGGTAAACTCACGCTTAAACCGGAATTAACCGACTTTAATTTCAGAGCAAAACCAGACTTGATCAACTCGCTCGAGTTAACACGCTTAATCAAAGCGATTAAAATATTTCTCTCGCTTTCTCGAGAAAA